CCTCAGTCTCTCCGTCCGTCTATCCTTCTCCCTCAGCCTCGATCTCGATCCTTCTCCCTTAGTCTCTCCGTCCATCCTTCTCCCTCAGTCTCTCCATCCTTCTTCTTCTCCCTCAGTCTCTCGATCCTTCTCCGGTTCTCCCCCCCCCATCAAATCCGAGCAGGTTTTGGGATCCGAAGAAAGGGATTGCTCATTTTCGGCTGCTGTTGCGACGACGACGGAGGATCCTCGGCGATATTATGGCTAATATCGCGATATTATTACGATACTTAACTGTAAACGTTGAAAATATCGTTATATGAAAATAACGATATTATTGGCGATATTTCGTCGATAATATCGATATTTAAATCCTTGATCCCAACCACCACACCCCACCATCATTATCATTGCCACCACACCATTAGCACTTCATTTTTGTTATTATATACAATTATCTTATTTTTACACTAAAATTTACTAAATACTTTCATATTACTTTTCATACTTACAGTAAATTTAAAAATACAGTTTGTTAAATACTCAATTGCTTATTTTATAGCTTATTATCCTTAAAAAAAACAACAACACAGTTTAAAAAAAAAACCACAACAATTCTGAACTCGCCGTAAGTAATTCCAGCGCATTAAGTCACATTTTAACTGTTAACCAAACAAAAATCTTAGTTTGTAATGTTTTTGTTTGGATAAGGAAATGTTACTTGAACAACAAAACAAGTAGAAGCTTGGGTTTAATTGGAGCGTACATAAATGGATTGAATGTCCAATAATTATTAGAGTTTGGTGAAGGAACATGTTTGAAAATTTCGAAACACCCTTGAGGTGTAAAGTCCAAAAATATCCAAGTTTTTAGTTGGAGTCGTTTGCAGTTTGTATTTTGCCTACAGTAATGAGAGCACTGTAAATTTGCTCATAACAAGTTTGTTTGGACCCGATTTTACACTATCGGCCCAAGCAATCGAGGTCGTTAAATGAGCAGAGATCTAGACCGTTAGACGACAAAGTGGTTGAGATAATTTTAATTATTATTGAGGGATAATATTGTGTTTTCATAATATTTATCTTTTAGTAAGTAATATATTGAATTATTTCAACTTAGTGTCGTCTAATTCCCCAATTGATTTGAATGATGATAGAATATGGGGATATAGATGTGCATTAAGGCGCGACATCAGATGATGAAGTAGGATGGGATGATTATCACATGAATACAAATGAAATATGCCTTTTTTATTCTTGCCTCGTGGAATGCATTAGTAGGAGATTTTGAATCCTTATGCAAGTATGGGTTTGATAAAATAAAGGTTGGAATTATATTGGACTTTATTATGCATGCATGGTTGCACCTGGACCAACGTGGTGGAAAAAGAGAATTTCTAGTTGGAATAGGAAGCAAAGTTTGAGGGCTTGGTTTCTATTGAGGCATGCAAAAGATAAGGTTCACAAATAAATTCACGAGTTTGAATTGAAATCAAATTATACACTAGTGTGAAGCTGCGCCACACAACATTTGCTTCTATAAATACAATGTCGCAGACAACATTAGGGACCTTCAACACAACACACAAACTACCTTACGCAAACCCTCGCTCTACGCAAAACCTCTCAAACATCTTGAGATTTTTATTTTCTTTTTCACCAACACATCTTAAGTTTGGATAAACAGCACTGTTGCCGTAGACTCAGCCAACCGCGGAGCACCTTCAGTTTGGATAAACAACACTGCGTCGAGGCCGACTAGTTATCTATCCAAGTCTCGGTCGAGAAGGATTTTCGAATCCTTATTGGCAGAGGTCATCTCATTAGCCTTCTCGGCAAAGTGAGGTGTTACAAGTTACTACATTCGGCACATTGAAAGTCGAATTTGATATTGAACTTCGTAGAACTAATAGCCTTGTCTTCAGGCTCTAGAACCCGAAGGTCGAGACGAGATCCTTCCTCGGCCGTAGTCGCAAGATCAAGAAGTCAGCAGTGCGCTCAACGCAATATCAACTCATTTTACTCACCAGCCAAGCTCGGCCGTCGAGTTGGCACGCCCCGCATCAACCCAAAGACGTAGTTAGCTCATTAGTTACTCGGCATGCGCGCCACGTAGGCTTGGTAGTTTTTAAGGTCAACAAAGTTAGAATACTCTACGAAGAAAATTTAATTTGTTCGCTATACAATTATTGATATAGTGAGAGCTTACATAAGACAATTTTACCACAGCGAAGCAGCTTTCTGCCAAAAAAAAAGGGTGAAACTCCTAAAAATCAGGAAAAAAAATGAAATATACAAAATCACAAACGGCAACTAAATATAAATTGAGACATTTAATTTTAAATAGTAGGAGCATCTTTGTTACAATTTGTCCTGGATATTAGAGTATTTTAATTCTCAGAAGCTTGAAATGACAAAGTGCCCCGAAAATGGAAAACGTTGACTTCGGCTAACCTTTTGGGTCGTGACTCTTGTGACCCATCAAATTTGCATATTCTCTTAGTACTCGATGACACGAACGCATGGACACAAGTGCAACAAGATTCGAAGTTACGATGAAAATTCTACATAACCATGAACTTCAAGAGTGTTTTCATAATTTACTATCTTCTAGATATTTCTTAAACATTATTTTATTCTATTTGAGTTTTGGGTCCAATGGGACCCACTCCCTTCCTGTCTCTCTATCTTCCTCACTCTGAATACTCTCTCTCATTCCTTTCAATTCCTCTCTTTTTTCCTCTTTCCTTCTTTTACGATTCAAACCAGTCTGACTCGACCGACCCAACAAGCGACACAGTTTTTAATCTGGGTCGGAAATCTGTTCGGTTATATAGCTTTAGCTTCTTCAGATACTAACGCAATATTTTATCTAGTGACGGAATTTTCTTTTTTAATGATTGAATGGTGACGAAATATTCTATTGTTAGCAACCACCACCATCACCAGCGACTAGATATATGATTTGATTGATTCCGACTACCGACACAAAATAGTTCTTAAACGACAAGTACCAAAAGGACAAGGATTGTCTACCGTTCCATTTCCGGTGCTCTCTCGTGTCCTCTTGTTTTGTGTGATCACGGTTAAGCCACGTCAACATTTTATATTGTTTTTTTTATAGAGATAATAAGATAAAAATAAATAGTAATATAAAATGTTGACGTAGCTTAACCGTGACAGCACAAATAGAAGGGCACCGGAAGTGGGAGGGCAGACAATCCTTGTCCGTACCGAAAAGAGGTTGAGTAAAAAACTTGGAAACGGAATAATAAATCTTGATGATTTTTGCATTAAAAAAAAAAAAAAATTTAAACTATATACGGAAAGAAGGGGTGTATTTTTTTTAATGACCTTCACTTTCATGATTTCATCATATGACTTCCAAATCACAGGTCTTTACGTATTGAGAATGACCTTTTCATACTTGTGTGTAGTTCCTCTTAACTTTTTTCCTCCGAATCAATTGAAAAGGTGTGATTTTCTCACTTCAAAATTGAGTACGAAGTTGTCGTAACATAATCTCACGTGTACTTACTCATAAATTATATGTAAGAATTTTTTTAATGTAAATCCACAAAACAAGTGTGTTTCAAATAAGAACACGAAATTATATCTCAAATTTTGAACTTCAAAATTGTATAAAATGAAATTTAAAAAACAACATTAAAAGGCAAAGATGATATCCCAAGTTCATAGGCTTGTTTGGTATCTTATTTGAAATTTTTTATCATTTCTTAAAACATTTCTTGAAAACAATTTTCTTTAAAAGTCAAAAACATGATTGATTTGTGATTTAAAAACTTTAAATCTTACGACCTAAATTATACAAGGAGATCTAAAAAAAGGGGGGGTCACAGGAGAGGGAGAAAGAGGATAGAGAAAGAAAGAAAATAAGAGATGATTGAAGGAAAGAGAAATAAGAGAGATCATCACACGAGATAGAGAGAGAGTAAGAGAAAATTGAGAGAATGAAGAAAGCCAATTGAAGGAAAAGACGAAAAAGGTAACAGAAAGAGAGGAAAGAGAGATAGGTTTGGAGTGAGAGGGAAGGAAAAAAAAAGAAAGAGTGAGTTTAAAAACTCTAAAAACTCGCTTTTTATGTTTTTAGAGAACCGAAACGTGTCCAAAAACGCTCCTAGATTGAAGAGGGAGCATTCATGAAGGCAACTTCACTGTATATTTCATTTAGCCCTGTAATATTGGCGGCTCCTTTTGCCGGTGGAGGAGTTACAACTTACAAGTTCCAACAAGTCGATGAACACGTCACCTTATGTTCAACGGATGGAATTGAGTAATCCCAATATAATAACTATGCAAATGACATCAAACATAGCTTGCAAGGCAAGGTAACCTTGACCTCTTATTCGACAACCAGGGGTATCGTCGGGACTCAAAACTCCAGCAACTTCTAAGTTTATTGCCAGCAAAGCAATGGAAACCCGCTGCAGAGGCAGGGGTAACCCAAACGTCCACAATCACGCAAACCATACGCGGTGCAATCAATCCGCAACACTTAATTCAACAATATTTAGACAATATTTAGACAGTATAACGATCCAGTTACCAAGTAAGAAATGGTAAAAACCAAAGACAGTACTACTTAAGTATTTACGGAAAGAAGAGAGCAAAACCAGTGCCGGTGTGGAAGCAAATAGACATGACAAAACCATTTTACAAGGTAAACTGAATGCATCACTACAGCTTACATGCTAATCATAAGATTAGGCATGTTGATGCTAGTCAGATGAAACGCTACCCCGTGAAACCCCGACAAATAAGCATCAAAATTTAACATCACAAGGGTTCCAAATTCTAACAGATCAGAAACAAAGCCATAACATTGTTTCACAGATCAAACTAATCACAGATGAATACCAAAACCAGAACAATTCGACCTAAACATGCCCATAAATTCCGAAAGCTAAAACCCCGAAAGAAGACGAACAAATCGAGAAACTAGCATACTAAAACCAGATTATCGGTGTCCATCGGAATCAACAGCAATAAACACCAAAACAATTAATTCAACAAACGAAATCAACTGCAACGCTTTCGATTCTCAATGCAAATATAACATAATCCCATAACAAAAGACATCATCCGCATTGCTTCCTCAATAAAATTAAACACATAGAAATTTAGCAACAAGCTAACTTCTTCCTAATCCAAAAACCAAATGTAGTATAGCATCAAAACCCGTTTCAGTACCTTCTGGGTCCACCACGCACGAACCCCAGATTCTGAGACTGTGCTTCCGGGTCGACCCGCTTGACGCCGGGCATGTCAGCCATGCCCAGAGCAGAGAGCATGTCGATGGTTTCCTTGTCGACGGAGATCTCGTCGATCTTGATAGCGGACTCCTCAGGGACGAAGTCCATGCGGCGCTCGCGCTCCTCCTCCTGCAGCTTCAGGGAGATGCCGCGGACCGGGCCCTTCTGGATCCGCTTCATCAGGTGGGTGGAGAATCCGGCAATCTTGTTGCGGAGGCGCTTGGAGGGGATGATGGCGACTTCCTCGAGGATCTTCTTGTTGGTGTGGAAGTCCAGGGTCATGCGCGAGTAGTAGCGCTCGATCACCTGGCGGGAGGATTTCTTCACTGTTTTTGTGCGGACGCGACCCATGGTGGTGGATTTGCGGAGGAGATGGCAGGCGACGGCGCTGGTATGTGCGTCTGTGCGTGAGGAGAGGGTAAGGGAAGTGGGAGGTAGGGTTTTAGGTATTTATGGGAAATCAGTGCGGCCTTGTTAGAGAATTGATTGGGCCAATATGAAATTGGGCCTTGCAAATTAAAACTAATTCATTATAATTTTCGAAATTACTATCGTAATTTTCTGCTAATTTTTTTAAAGAATTTTAGAAGTAGACTTTTTTTTTTTTTTAAAGATAGTCGTGGTTTTTCTTTCAAAATATTTATCCGATTATCTACTTTTTATATTTTACCCGACAAAATATTTTCTTTTTCTAAAAGTAAAATATAATAGTATCTTTTTTTTTTTTTTTTGGTAAAAAATATAGACGTATCTTCAAAGAGAAATTTTATTTAAACCCAACTATCTTATTTTCAAATCCAACTTAAATATTTTTATCATTCAATTCTCTATTTTGCCCCGACGTTATTTAGAAAGTAAAAATAAATTAGAAGAACATGAACCCACATATATGGCCACCACTTTTCGGCATTTTCTTCAATAATGCAGGTGTGAATCTCTTGTCGCCAGCGTCTCTTAACCACCTCCTCTTTCGTATTATCTCCCTCCTCATTTGTCCCTTTCCCTCATCTATTTCTCATGCTCTTCAATCGTAACGCCGGCATCAGAGGCCTACAAGCATATTCGAAGCTACGTGAGGGCAAGGAGTGGCAGCCGCCCCTCCCTTCGCCGGAAAATATGCCTAGGACCGTTTTGATTGAAACTTGCGCAGGTGGTGTGTCGTGGTAGTCCTTGGCTAAGAAGGAGCTCATTCCTACAACTTCCATGTTAGGGCGTTTGGCATACGTCGTCGAGTCCGCACAAATGGAAACCAAAAGCCATACGTCGACTAGTGTGGTGTTTTTGCTGCCGTTCAACTACTTGAAGCTACGTTTGCCGCAACTCATTCAAACAGTCGGAGACGTGAAGATCAAGAGTAAGAAGTCGAAGCACAGTGCTTGATAATGCAGAGGATACCCAGATTGAGAAAACCCAGGTGTAGAACTTCTTCTCTAGTTACAAGTTTCTGAGTGGTACAAAGTCGGCAATGCGGAGAACCACAAATGTCTATGGCCGAGAAGGGATGGCAGTGTCATCGACGAGGAAGGTGTTGAGCCGAAGAGGGATCATTTATCTTGTATGGACAGTTCGAAGTCAAAACTTGTGGAAACTAAATGGTGTGCTATATAAGGAGGTTGTGCCGCTAAAAGAATTTAACTTGAAGTTGCCATGGAGAATTGCCAGTGAATCGTCTGTGGGGTTTGAGGTGGAAGAGAACCACTGGGTGTGGAAGAGATTTCAGTTTTGTTTATTTCTTTTTTTCAGTTTTAATCAAAGGGTGAATTAGGATTTTTAAGAAAATATTTTTTGCATTGAGTGTAGAAAAAGGTTGAATGGGTTCCAATAAAATTTCCCATCTTCAAAATAACAAAAATGGTGGATGTTTATATTTTTTTAAATTATTATGTACACATTTTAATAAGAGAGTTATTTTGTATATATTACTAGTACGTTTATTATGGGTTTTCACGCGTTGGTTTAATTCATTTATGAATTGGTACGTTTATTGACACACCCCAACCTGGAAAGGTCGAAGCATGCTGGCCGTCACCGTGAGGTGACGTAACCTCAAGGGTAAGTGATGCAAAAAAGAGAATAAAATTAAAACTAATTAGAACTAAACAATGAATGTGTGCAATTCGTGGGTTGAACCCATGACAATTATTCAGAGCGTAATAGACAGGGAGACTACGAAAGAGTAGTCAAAGCAACCAAAGTACACTTATTACATAATAGTGATAAGTTCATACGTCTAAACAGAAGGAAATGTCAGAACTGCCGTGATTCCTCAAATGCCACAGAGAGTACAGCTATCTAGGTCCTGGAGGGGCGAAAAACAAAGTTGAGTGGGTCAGCAAAACAATGCTTATAAGAAAACCTTTATCTTTGAATATACTAACCCCTCGCTCGAGAAACAATTATAGTTTCCTCAAAACATACTACGTAAGTATGAAATCAAATATATCAGCCATATAACTAGAAATATGCCAAGTAAATGATGTATCATATACCACAATAATAATCATGTGATAATCAATATAACTAAGTGCTCATCCATCTAAGCTGGCACACAAGTTCAAACAGATGGTTTCTAACACGAAAAGGACTGGGTGTAATCAATGCTGATATAACTAGAAATATGCCAAGTAAATGATGTATCATATACCACAATAATAATCATGTGATAATCAATATAACTAAGTGCTCATCCATCTAAGCTGGCACACAAGTTCAAACAGATGGTTTCTAACACGAACATGACTGGGTGTAATTAATATGCTCTAGTACTACGATCACGTGAAGACTGGTGCAAAAGCACATCACATACAAGTCGGATCGCTTAATGCAATCTACCCGACAAGACTGGTACCTAAACTTGGATCCAAGGTGAGCAAACGGTGCGGATGTGAATATACACGTGAAGGACTGGACCTGGCCCTAGGGCGAGTATTAACGCCGAGTGCAGCAAGATAAGCATGTATATAAGTATGTATGAATGCCATGACAGTAATATCACAACCATATAGTAGCATTTATCACAATAATGATACTAGGCAAGTTAGGCGTAAAAGTGAAGTAAATACATTTATGGAAACTATAAATATATATAGGTATAAAACAACTTCTCACTCACAAGTACGTCGCTGGGTCGTAGCCCCCGAGCCTAGCTTGGCCTCGAAAATCCTCGAAATAAGTTTCCCATATATGTGAAATAACTAAATAACATTAATTAAAGCACATAACAGAAACCTAAATAAAACCCTCATAGTTTGCTCAAACATAGGGTGTAAATATATGAAATCGATCTACTCGACGATACGAACACACACGTGTCAACCACGCGTCGGCCGGAGCCCAGACTCGCCCCCACGCGCCCCCAAAAGCGGCTGCCCACGCGCCCCCGCGAGTACATTATACTCGCCTTCTTTGCGAAAATCTACAGTTTTGCAGATTTTTTGCCCAACTTCCAGAGCCCATAACGAGCTCGATTCTCAACCATATTCACTTCTACAAAAGCCAAATTAAAGCTAGGAATGTGATCTACCAATCCCAATTTACAGAAAGTTCGAATATAGTCCGTGTTGTTCAGAAATTTGGCCTGAAAGTGGCCAAACGACCACGGCTGAAATTTTCCAGAAAACTAAAATTTTCTTCCCAACTTCCAGAGTTGATTTCTAACTCGTTACTCAACCCAACTCAGTGATTCAAAAGCCCTTTTGAAGTTAAGAATGTAGAGAACAAGTTTGTACCTAGAAGAATCCAATTGTGGTCAATGTTGACCAGAAAAACGGTTTGAAAGTGACCAAATGACCATGGTTCTTGAGTGAAAAATGGCAGATTCTCTTTCTTCTCGAGTTTTTGGGTAAAACCACACGTTCAAAACACAAACAAATGATCAATAACAACTCATAGAAGTGAAATGAAGGTTCTAAGGGTTTCTCAAGGCTTACCTAAGCCATGCATGGCCTGAAAATCGATATGTCGAACTCGCCGAGTCAACCTTTCGAGTTGGTGAGTCAAAACTCGTCCACACCAGATTTCAAGGACATGGTTGTGATCGTGGGACTGAGATGATCACAATGGTGTAATTTGTTTTTCACGTTTGAGTGTTTTGTGGTTGTTGCAGAAAGGAAGAAGAAGAAGTGTGGTGTGGAAGAGGGAGAGAGAGAGAGAGAGATGCTTTTCTGATTGAGGGAACAGGAAATAAAGAAGGGATGGGATAGGTGATAGGTGATAGTGAATAATGAAGGGGGAAGTGCACGGGATGAGTTTAAAAGGAATCCAAGGATAGTTTTTTTTTTAGATTTCCTACAGAAAAAGGAAATCAAAATCTATCCAAAGTAGATATTTTTACACTTCAAAATTTACGCATACTCGTGCTAGCATGTACAATTTAAATGCGATAGCGAGAAATAAAAAGGAAAGCCATAAGAATAAGTCCACGTCACTTGCCAATAAGGGCATAATCGTCAATAAACATACTCGGGGATAAATTACATAGGAAAATTAGGGAAAGGTCGTCACATTTATGTTCAAATATTTTTTTGAAATGTTTAATTTTAGTGTTTGTTACGTTTAGTTTTAATTTTTAGTACGTTGGTTTCAGTTTTTGGTATGCTTAATTTAAACTTTTGGTACATATCATTGATTAATAAATTAATAATTATCTTTCTTTGTTTGAATTAATAATAATGATTGGTGTTATACCCACCTCATTTTCTTATTTCCCTACATACCTTATATTCACATCCATCATAAAAAGACAAAACACACATAAACTCTTTCCCCACCCACCATTATTCTCAAAATAACCCTATATATTTCTTCTCCCAATTTTCCTTTCTTTACAAAATTTATTATAATTTAACAAAAAAGAAAATTATCATTAAACTAATATACCCAACAACTCCAACTCCAAATATCACAATAGTCCCCTCCCCAAAAAACCCAAACCTCAGCCCAACCACCTTCCCCCCCCCCCCCCCCCCCCAAAAAAAAAACACACCCCAGCGCCCCTCCTCGCCCAAAATCCTCGGTCGGCCTCAACGGCGTGCTTTTGGAATCGGGAGATGGTTCTCGAGTCCCCATTTGATGGAGTCGTTGAAGGACCGCAGAGGAGATCAGTGGACGACATGGGCTTGACGTCCGAGCACAGCCTCGATGATTTGGCGAAGGTCTCAGCCATGGCAAACGAGACGATCGGTGAGACAGCCAGTGCATAAGAGAGAGGGAGAGGAGAAAGAGAGGGAAGGAGGAAGAAGCAGGAGTGTTTGGGGTTGAAGCGGTGAGGTAGGAAATTAAAATGGGGTGAATTTGTGGAGGCTGAGGTCGGGGAGGGTGGTGATTATGGGTTCTTCAAGTTTTTATTTTTTATTTTTTTATTTCATTTTTATGTTAAATAAGTTTTAAGTCCAGCTGTATAATAATTGTATATGTGATAAATTTTGAGTGGAAGTTATGTGCTGATCTGGTAATACTAAATTATCTAATGATTTATCCTAATTGTGGAGGTGAAGGGGTTTGTTAATAAAAGTATTATTTTAAAATGAGTGAAGTGATAAGACATTAGGATGAGCTTAGTAACACTTTATAATAATAATAATAATAATTTTCGTATAAAGAAGGCTAAATTTACGAGTTTTAAATATTATTTTTTTAATTTAGAAAGAGGACAGTTTAAAGAATGTGGCACAAAAATTTATAATTTTGAGTGGAAGTTATGTGCTGATCTGGTAATACTAAATTATCTAATGATTTATCCTAATTGTGGAGGTGAAGGGGTTTGTAATAAGATATGATTGGTTGGTTTTTAAGTCTTTGAAGGTCATTTTATATAAGGACAAATTTGTTAATAAAAGTATTATTTTAAAATGAGTGAAGTGATAAGACATTAGGATGAGCTTAATAACATTTAATAATAATAATAATAATAATTTTCGTATAAAGAAGGCTAAATTTAGGAGTTTTGGATATTATTTTTTTAATTTAGAAAGAGGACAGTTTAAAGAATGTGGCACAAAAATTGTAGAAAGTAGTTTAATTAAAATTTTAAAAGCTATGGATGTTTGGTTATATTTATAGGGACAGGTATGCCCTTGATGATAAGTTGGAGAAGCGATTTCGATTGCACCGCGCCTCCTGAAACTTTATCTCAATTTCCATGCAGCGAAACTAATTGCATAAAAACCAAATGCTAAAATGCTAATTCATTTGGCATAAAAGACCAAATGCTAATTATCTGCAAAGAGATAATAAAGCATGTGTCAAAATGCTGTTTCATTACTTGATTTTCCAGAAAATAATAAACTAAAGGTAAAAATTCATTGCAAATAAAACAAATATTTATCAGTCCCAAAAGAGAAAACGTAGTGCAGATTTACAATATATTCACATTTCTTAAATTTGTTTTCGAGTTCTTGAATACTTGAATGAAAAACCATGTTGGGTGTTCTTAAAACTGAGCTAAAAGTAGAGCTCAAGAACTTGTAATCGACACATATAACAAGTACACTATATTAGGGCGCTTGAGAGAACCATGTCGAAGGAACTCAACAAATTGTAGAATTCAAAGCTAGTTACCTTCTTCAATCTTCATATTAGATTTGAATTTTGACTATACGCTTTTTTCTTTGTCCAAATTTATAATGTTGGAGAGACTGAAAGCACGAGCATAACCCAAAGCACGAGGATTAGCATGAGCAAAACTAAGCTCCCGAGCTTAGGTCCAGCTGAGTGCCCGCGTTTGAACATACACACCACCTTGTGTCGAGGGCTTTCTGCTTGGTCGGCTGCATCCATTGTGGAGCTTATTCTAAAAGCACAAAATCCGGCCACAAGGCGACCAATCTGTGTGCACATTTGTATGCGGGAAGTTGGGAGGAGACGAGCGACTAGTTAGGTTTATGTGTGAGAGAGGTGAACTTAGACTGTTTGGCTGCTACAATTGTAGAAGAATTAAGGGCAGATTTTGTGGTGTGTGCACTGCGAATGTGTACTGAAATGCCAAAAGTGTATGTGGATGTAAACTAAATTGTTAAAGAAAATGGACCTATTGTCGCAGTCATACAGAATATGGACCTGATAATTCATGCATTTAAATTATTTTGCTCTTTTCATTTGTACGGAATTTAGCATTCTCAAACAATGCATGTAAATAGCACAAGGCTTACTACAATATGACAAGCAGCATCTAAAACATGTTATCAAGCTACCTTTTCTAACTTATACTACCAAACAAATGTATATAAGCAATAGTATCATCTTATACGATCTTAAAACCTGCAGCACCGCGCAGACATTTTTGCTTGCTAGTTTGAATGAAGTTTTCATAATACTCTAAAAGAGGAAGCACAAAGGATCAAAACATAGCACAACAAATGGATGATGCTTACAAAACCTGGTTTGACGACATGAAATTCCTCAAAACCATACTAAGAGACTGATTAGTGGTGCTATAACCTCCATCCACAAGAAAGTTCAGTCCATTCACAAATTTGGACTCGTCACTCGCCAAGTACACGGCAGCCTCCGCCACATCCTCTGCCCTCGGCACCACTCCTTTCAACACCGCCGAAGCGCAGATCATCTCCTCAACCGTATTTCTTTCAATCCCCAAAAGATTCGTCAGAAACGGGGTTGCCATGGCACCCGGAGATATGCAATTGACTCTAATCCCGTGCTGCCCCAAGTCCACGCACAAGCTTTTCATAAGTCCCACCACCGCGTGCTTCGACATGGCGTATGCGTGTGTAGACTGGCCGCAAGTCACTGACGCCACGCTTGAAGTGAAAAGAATGACACCTTTTTTAGCAGGGATCATTGCCCTAGCAGCATGCTTGGCGCCCAAGAAAGCACCATAGACATTCACATCAAACACTTTCTTGAAGTTTTCGCCATCAGCACCCAAAATAGTTGGGTCCAATTTGCCGGATATGCCTGCATTGTTGTACATGATGTCAAGCCTTCCGTACTTCGACAGAGCCACGTCTACAACATTTTTCACATCCGAATCGACAGTGACATCGCAACGTATGTACGAAATGGAAACTCCGTCTGGGTCGAGTTCTTTGCAGAGGGACAGGGCTAGTTCGTCTTGGACGTCGGCTATGACGACTTTTGCACCATGGAACACAAACAATCTTGCAGTGCTCTCTCCAATTCCACTAGCACCTCCGGTGATAATTGCCACTTTGCCTTCTAACCTGAAAATTAATGATGACAAATGAGACACTAATTAGTAAATGTAGGACAAACTAGGAATTCAAACCCTGAACCTCGAGCTACCTTAACCAGATGAGCTATAAGCCCTGCCGGAGGCTAGACATTGAATGATGAAAATTAAGCGTACCTTTTAGGACCTGGAATTGAAGCTGGTGAGGAAGGACTGCTCATCTTAATTTCAGTGATTGATGTAAATATATGGAGACACTTAGTAATGATTTGGGACTGAGTTGCTTTTGAAAAAGTGGGTATCAAAAAAGCTAGGAGCCAACTTTTTCGTGTTTGGTAAACATTCAACTTCAGTTTTTTTTCATAGTTTTGGGAGGAAAAAAAAACCAAAAACACGAAGCTGCAAAACCCAGCTTTGAAAAAACTGGTTTTTTTTTTTTACCTCTCTTATGTCCTCTCTCACTCTGAGCTTCTTTGGATTTCTTGGACAAGAGCGGCAAGAGGTTTGTTTGATTTCTAGGCTTTGTCAAAATCTTGCACAAAGAATGCTAGATTTGCACCCTTCTGCTTGACACCCAAAATCTCAACGAGACGACCTCGATGCTAACACCGACGGTAAGTCCCGAAATTGGAGTCCATCCTTCCTTTGCGAATCGGTTGATTTGACCCAGCCTTCCTTAGGATCTGGTAGAGAGAGACAGAGAGAGAAGGGGGAGAGAGGGAGTGAGGGGCAGAAGAGAGAAAATACAGAGGTTCTGCAAAAATAAAGTAAAAGAAGAAAAACGACCCCTTGTAGAAAAGAATAGAATTAAAAAATTATAAATATCTTAATAAAAAAAGGGGTAAAAGAGTACAGCTGTTTAGTAAATAGTTTATATAAATATTGTAAATATCAAAATAAAAGAAAAGATAAAAAATTATTATATAATATTAAATATCATATTTTTTTAATCATTGTGCACAATAACAAATGTTTTACATAAAAATTTACCAAACACTATAACATTGTATTTTTTTTTGTTAAAAACACTTTTACAAAAAATTTACCAAAAATCATAATGCTTTATTTCGCCACTGTTTATAAAATGATTTTTTAAAGTACAATAATATCAAACCACCGCGGCATGAATCAAACAATGTGTGTGTTGTATATTTATATGCACTCTATCAATATAAAAATCATTGGATAGGGTGATAATTGCTGGTTAAGTCACCGACAAGTTTACGTGGCCCGATTTGAATGCATGTGACGGACAAAACCTGGTTTTGAAGCTTTTAAATTTTGTTTGGAAGTGTTAATTTTTTTCATGCTTAGTTTTCAATGTTTTTTTTAAGGGAGAGTTTGGATACAGATCTTGGTTATGAATATTCTTTGATTGAAACTTTGTTGGTTTTTAATTTTTTATTGAGGTCCCTGAAATTAATGTGATAATTTATTTCTATGTACGTTACTATATTTTTTAAATTAAAAATTAGAAATTTTAGTTGTTTATATAAATGAGATTTTAAATAAAAAAACCATAATTTGTGGGATTAAAAATATTAAAATATAAATATACTATTGTGTGTGTGTGTATAAAAACATGCGTACATTCATCAAAATTAACCAAAATATTTATTGTATCAAAACATGGGTACATTCTTCAAAATCACAAAAAAAAAAATATTAGGCTTAATAACATTAATAAATTTCTTCGATTAAACTTGACATGGATACATTTTAAAATCAAAGAAAAAAGAATGTACCCATATAAGTTTAAAAATGGATTAGAAAAAAATTGAATAAATTTTATATAAAAAAAATGGTACATTTTATGACACACCCCGATCCTGAGATCAGGGCGTGCTAGCCGCCACGTGAGCGTGACGTAACCATAACTGCAATACGAAAGCAAGAAAATAAGAAATACGAAGGATTAATACCAACTACTAGCAGAAATATTCAACTAGCATACTAGAGCGAGTTATAAAGTAAACACACAATTCAGAGCGAAGGTACTAGGTGCAGTCAAGTAGGACTATAATTAAGGTACAACACCCGCAGGTGAGTCCTACATGTAGAGTGTCTGTCAGAATGCCGATAAGAACCTCGTGAGCCGCCAACTGCTAGCTAGAACCTGGAGGGGCGCAAAAACAAAATTGAGTGGGTCAGTAAAACCAAATCTTTCCAAAACATTTATTTAAAACACGTCTAACCCCTCACCGTAAAACCTGTATACCTTCCCAGAAAAATAGCATATAATCCTATATATAACACCAAAAGTTCAAATCACAATCCTTCAACGCTTTTCAGAAAGAATATACCATGCCATGCCATGCCACATGCCAAAATACAATATAAATGCATCAATATAAGTCAGGTGAAAATAATAAATCAACTGCAGACCCTACAATGGTCCTGTACGGCTAATACCATAGCTTAATATTCCATCCAGCCGGAGTCACCAACGGTGACCTGTACGACCCTGCCGGAGTCACCAATTGGGGCCTGTACGACACCACGCTGCACATAAGTCGGAACTACATATAGTAGTCTATACGACTAAGATGGTAAAATAATACGCTCTAGTGCTCCTCTCATCAATGATCTGCGCATATAATCGAAAGTCACCTACTAGTCGGAACCACCTCAGTGGTCTGTACGACTAGCATGTCGGAACCCTCACATGGTCTGTACGACATGCACCTACTTGGATCCAAGGTGAGCGTGCGGTGCGGTGAATAATATGAGCACTAACATCAAGGTGCAGATTATGAGTTCTCAACACAATTCACATTATCGATGATTCACATAATTTCCATAAAACTCACCTGGGCGTCCACAGCACCAATTTACACACATATCTATATGCATTAGCATCATTCCGTAATATTCATACTATGCATACATGGCAATTGAAACTTACTTTCATATAAATTAAAGTTATGGGAGAATTAATAGTATATAGGTAATACGAAAAACAAAACTGCCCACTCACTGGTAAGTCGATGGGTCGTAACCCCCGTGACGTCCCTGAATGCGCTCGTCCTCGGGATAGGTGTCACCTATATGCGAAACAACTATAAAAACGTTAATTAATGCACATAACCGATAATTCGAAATAACTTCTCATACGGTGCTCAATTTGGGTATATGAATATACCACAGCGACCTACTCGACGTCACGGACGTCGACAAATTTTTAGAATTAATTTTGGGCTTGTCACGCGCCCCCACGCGCTATGGGTGGCACGGACCTACGCGCCTCCACGCGCGTCTCCTTCCTCAACCAGTCGCCGGATTGGTTTTTTCGGTGGCCGGATTCTGGGCATTTTTCAAACGCCTTGTTCTCCTTCGTTTCTCAACCGTTTACTTCGAATTTTATATCAATTTGAAGCCCTCAACATGTAGAATCATATAGGACTAATTTAAGGGTCTAAAAACAACTAAATCTCACTGGCAAATGTGAAGAAAAATCGGCCAACTTTCGAACCCAGTGATCCTGACGTCCAAAACCTTCAAACGAAGCACTCCGAGCTTCCTTGGGACCTCACTAAGCTCACTATAAGTTTGGATTGTCCTAAAAATCAACCAATACGAAGTTCATGAATAGTGCCAAACTCGGGCCTCGAGTTTTCAACGTGAAAACGAAGGATTTCTTACCTGAAAATGGTATCCTTGAGTTCGTAGAGTCCTCACGAGTACGATGGTGCCTTCAAAATCCTCGATCCACGAAGTTTCAGGGTCTTATGGTGTTGGTCCGTACGTTCGAGAGTGAGAGAGTGAGAGAGAGTCGTGAGGGAAGAGAGAGAGAGACACGGGGGAGGAAGTGTGTGTGTGTGTGATCCAACACAATCCTCACCATTCATTCAACTTCATCCCTAACCACACAATTCACAAACTCATTTAATCCAACTTAATAATTTTTATAAAATCTTATGAAATAATTGTATTTAGCCCAAAGGATATGTCACACACACACATACCTTAATACCCGTCAAGGGTAATTCCGTCATTTCACATCCCCGATATGAAAATCTCGGGACATGCTGTGACATTTTACATATAACAAATTGGTATATTTAAGAATGAGTACATTTTAAGATTACAAAGTTTTACACGAAGGGGTACATATAATTAGTATGGGTACATTTAGCAAAATAAAAAGTACAAATAAAAAAAATATATGGGTACAAATACAAATATACTTAAAAAAATATGGGCGCAAAAAGAAATTAATATATGGATACAAATTAAAACTGAAAAGAAAATTGGTACAAATTAAAAAAGAATTACAAATTAAAAATGGGTACAAACTAAAACTAAAAATATATGATAAAAAATTTAGTCATAAATATAAATATACTAATTGTAACATTTTTAACATTAAATGAATATATTTAGAAATAAAAAAATATTTTATTATTGAAATAATTAATGATGTTATTAATACCCAAGGACCTTGATCAAAAATTGAAAAGGAATAAGATTTTAATCAATGAAGTAGCAAAATGAAATATGAGAACCTAATTTCTCCTTCTTTTAATTAGGATTCCAATTGTCCGTATAAATTAATCTTAGGGTTAAGGCTATGTTTGATATTGTATTTTGTCACAAATCATCACTACCATCACCGTAACTAGAATTACCGCCACCGTCGCTATCAGTATTAATTATGCACCCCAATCACCACACTCCACTATTGATATCACCACCATATCTCCATCATTGCCGCTACCATCACCATCACCTCCTACAGTGATCCACCACCAACCACCACTACCCCCACCTCAATTTCAAAAGCTTTTACACTACTTTTTATACTCACAACACTTTTTAAAATACAGTTTATCAAACACTCAATTACTTTATTTTACAACTAATTATTTTTATAACACATCAAAAATAATTTTAATAAAAATACAGCACTCCCAAAGTAATTAAGTACGTTTGCTTTAAACGAAGAAAAAGCTTGGCGAGAGATAAAAGCCAAGCAGAAACGTCCCAACTGCTACAAGATAAGAAGATATTGCAAAGCAAAATGGCCGGCAAGAATTATAGTGCATGTAGGATTATATTTCTATATGTTTTTTTCCCTGGACCACATTTTGTCCTGGATTGGATAAAAATGATGGGTTTGACTTAATTGTCGGCATCCCTTGAGATTAATTTTTATTTTTAATTTTTTCTGCACGTTAAATTTGGGGTAGATTAATCACATTTGGAGAATCAAATTGCTTTTACACACTGCCACCCCATCTTCCCTTTGCTGATGATAGTTTTGTTTTTGTTAGAAGTTATTTACAAAAGTGTGTCCATGTAAAACGGTTGTTGAAAACATATGAAGAGGCCTTGGGACAAACTATAAATTACACGAAGAGTTGTGTCATATTCAGTGCAAACTTGACAGAGTACGATAAGCAATATCTGGCTAACTACTGTCTTAGCATGTCTAGAGTGGATTACCATGACCGTTACTTGGGTTAACCCGCGTCTGTGGGACGGGCTAAGAAGGCAACGTTCTTGTATATTAAGGATCGGTTATGGAAAAAAAATTAAATGGGTGGAAGGTTTCCCTGTTGAGTACTGCGGGCAAGGAGATTCTAATCAAAACTATGGCACAATCAGTACCGATTTATACTATGCAGACTTTCCTTTTGCCAAAAAACGTTTTGTGATGAACTCAATCAAATGGTTGCTCAGTATTGGTGGGGGCGTGAACATGGCAAGAGGAAGATACATTGGATGAAATGGAGTAAACTTTGCTAGCCGGAGGGTGAGGGAGGTTTGGGTTTTAA